CTCCTCACTGTTCCCACCTGCTTCTTCAGAATGAGTGGCGGTTGTGGTGGTGGTGGTACTGCTGTCATCTGTGTTACCACCGCTGCTGCTGTCATCTGTGTTACCACCGCTGCTGATGCTGCCAATGCTGCTGATGCCAATGCTGCTGCTGCTGCCAATGCTGCTGCTGCTGCCAATGCTGCTGCCGCTGCCAATGCTGCTGATGCTGCCAATGCTGATGCTGCTGCCAATGCTGATGCTGCTGCCAATGCTGCTGCCGCTGCCAATGCTGCTGCTGCTGCCAATGCTGCTGCTGCTGCCAAAGCTGCTGCTTCTGCCAATGCTGCTGCTGCTGCCAATGCTGCTGCTGCTGCCAACGCTGCTGCTGCTGCCAATGCTGCTGCTGCTGCCAACGCTGCTGCTTCTGCCAATGCTGCTGCTGCTGCCAACGCTGCTGCTTCTGCCAATGCTGCTGCTGCTGCCAACGCTGCTGCTTCTGCCAATGCTGCTGTTGCTAATCCCAGTAGTGCTGGTTCTGGCCAGCGCTCTGCCACGTGGTATGATTGTGATTGGCCAGGAGGCAAGGCTGTGTTGGTGCGTGCGGTTGAAGTGGTGAGCGAAGGAAGGGGAGAAGTTGAGGTTGGCAAACCCCACGTGCAGCGTCGCCCTGCAGGGGGGAAGAGGGGGGAAGGGGGAAGGGGAGTGGGAACGCAAGGGAAGAGAGGCAAAGCGAGGGAGGGGGGATGAAGTTGAGATTGGCGCACCCCACGTGCAGCGTCGCCTGCAGGGGGAAAAACGTGGTACGCACGGGGGAGAACAGGGAAGCACGAGGAAATACGGGGAAAGGGGGGGCATGCGAGGGAGGAAAGGGATGTGATGGGAGCGCAGCGGATGCTGGAGATTCACGCTGTGAACGGTGATTGCGCGCAACCCAAAAAAAATTGCGAACAGCAGCATTGTCAGATCCCCCCATTCAAAATGCATGCCAACAGAAACCCTAAGTTTCCCGTACGATTCTCGGGGCGCCCATGCTAAAAGCAACTTTCTGATTCGTTGGAGCTCCATTAAAACTCTCGGCAAATCAACTTGCGTCTAGAAGATTCAAAACCTAACCCTCCTCTTACCCATCCGTTTTTGCGATGCACAAGGTGCAAAGGAGTGGGGAGGGATTCAAAGGTAGTGCCAAGGGGTTGGCAGGGATATGGACGAGGTGCGAAAGGGGGCGACAGAAGAGCAGATTGGTAATCGCCTCCATGCGAGGCGAGGTGCGAGGAGTAGTCTAACCGCCTCGCATGGAGGCGCCTCGAAATCACACTCACCAATAATCGCCGAGGTCCCACACGCGGTACGACACTCTAAACTCCGTGCAGTGCGGAGGGTCTAGACACCTAACGTCCCCGTGGGCTAGAGCGCGGCCTCTTAAAGTCAGAGTTAAGTCGCGCTTCCACCAGCTCTCCGCCTTGAGCACCTGCGCCCAGCGCGCGGGCGCACGCACGGACACGCGGAAGGAGCAGCGCTGCCCGCACAGACACGTGGCGCAACCTGAGCCGTGGATCACCACTCCCGAGGGGGACGGGGATGCATAGTCTGCATGGGAGGCGTATGCACATGCGAAGCAAGGGAGGTGGAAAGGGGAGCCGCACGAGAAGCATCTCAAAAGTGACACAATCACATCGCATTTCCCTGTGGCCGCTCCATTCACATATTCACATGGCATATTCGCATAGGTATATTCGCATCGCATTTCCCTGCGGCCACAGGGAAGCCGAGGAGCGCGGACGACATCAAACCTCGATTTTGTGAAATGCCCCCTGGGTTGGCATTTTGGGATGTACGAGTCGTTGCCGATTTTCGAGGGGCCCCGCTCGCAACTCATTTTTTCCGATGCAGTTGAGCAATACCTAATCTTGAGGCAGCTCAAATATTCCGGCTCATTTTAGGCCGCGCCTAGTATAAAAAAATACGCAACATTGTTTCCACGTATTTTGAAATCTTATCTTAGCCTGTCTTCAAGGCGCCTAAGAAAACAAGCAAATCATTTTTTTGAAATCTTACCTCCTGACGACGTCCAGCACACTCTGAGGTGCCTCAAATATACAGGAGTGCGGACGAAGCATTGGTTTATGTTTTAGGCGCCTCGACGAGGAGCGCGGACGACATCAAGCATACTCGTCGTCGTTATCTGAGACGTCGGTTTTTTAGACGCCTAGAGAATACGCAACTCATATTTCCCATGATACTTTCTCGAATGTCTCACCTCCTGACGACGTCCAGCATACTCGTCGTCTTGCGCTACGCTGCAAGTAACGCGAATGGCGGTAGCGCCAGTAGTGGCATCGCCTGTAGCGGTACTAGGGCCACTAGTAGCGGCGGCGCCGGTGACAGCGTTACTACCCCCTGTTGCGTCTGAATTGTAGGCGACAAGTAGCGCCTTTCGCAGCGGCAGGGGGAAAAGAGGGCCCCATCCGCCGCGGAACCTTACGCATGCTCCCCCTGCTGCCGCCAATCCCGCCACGCTCATGCTTTCCGGTCCCGCATCGGTTCTGGTGACCCATGGCGGTAACGATTCGGCTTTAACGAGTACAAGGAGGCACAGGTTGACGGAAACGAGTACGAAGTGAGACCGGTCCATAGAATTGTCAAGAAACCCATTTCACGTAGCGACGATGACGATGACGGTAACGATCTCTCTGTTGCCGCCCGTTTTTTTCGCGCTAGAAACAGAAGGGTCCAACGAAGACTGGTGTAGGCAGAAACTGGAACTGGCTTCAAGCAGAAACACCCGCCATGCAGCAGTTCAACCTGTCAGGACAAGGGGGTATCATGTGAAGGTGACGTATGACGTGGTTCAGGTAATACCGTACAGTACTACGTATGGTTCAGCTACACCGTCTCTCTCAGGGTTTCGACGACCCAACAGACAAACGAGTTTCGTGATGTCGGAGATGTTTGTACAACGCATGCTGTTACATTTGGAACACGACAAGAATGCTGCCATGCGTACAGTCGCCGTCAAACAAGTCCTTTTCCTAGATCCAAGGCAACCGTTGGAAGGATGTGGAGGAAACCGTTCTGCTTGACTACTTTTGACGGACAAAGAAACCAGTCGGGTCGGGAAACGTCGATGCGCGAAGTCATGCCAAATTTTCTTATCTGACAATGGCCAACCAGGTATCGGCTCCCACTCTCGCATTGGCCAAGCAAGCAACCCTTCGATACAGAAGTCCCGAGACACCGTGACGGTCGATTTTCCGACGAATTCTCGTTGCAGCTCGATTGCCGTGTCGCCACGCCAAATCCGAGATTTCTTCAAAATGGCTCCACCCACACAACACCCGCCCACACCACCTTCTTCCAGGCTTCCCGCGCCTATCCGTCCGCCAAATCACATCGTTCCTTCCACTGGTGAGCGTCTCATCCCTACTCAAACGTTCTATAGTGCAAAATAATAGGTCTGACACGCAAAAACAACTCACCAAACCGCATTAAACTGGACACCCCTTTACTAATCCCACTCCCTCGTCATAAGATCAAGAACTCACTCCATCTGCTCTGTCAGTTACACAAGCAGTTTCTTTCACACGATTTTTCACTCCTTGCTGTCACCTGTTGGGACCGACCTAGGCAGAGCTGTTTTATCATGACAAGCCGGGAGAGTGTGTACGGAACGGAGACTGTACATATACTGTGGCATTGTCTTGTAGTAAGAATGTAGCATTTCGCCAGCAATGTCACCAGGTTCGGGGATGTTGTTTGTGTGCCTCAGTACGCATGCTGGAGCCTACTATGGCCTTGCCTGTGGACTTTTACCAATCCGAAACCCAACGCAAGCCCATGCAAGAAAGTTTTTATCAGCCACGTGTCATCCCAGACGATGACTGGGTCAAATTCGCCCCTTCAATTCATAAATCCCTCGCTGACGACATTCGTAGTGCAAATGCCATCGCGGACAATGAGGTCTTCTTGAAATCGAACCGGACTGGTCGGCTGGTTCCACTGCCTCGGCTTCGCAGCCTTGGTTCTGTTTTCGCCAGAAAGAAGCCATCAAGCAACACAAAGAAAGACATGAACTTGATGCTGATAGATTATTTTTGCGGACTAATGTCCTCTTTGTCATGCGTCCCTTCATCAACCAGCCGGCGACTGCATTCCTGTCCTAGCTGCACTATCTTGGCTCAGACAATCGCGACACCCTCGGGAGCACTTTCTGCTTCGGTGTTCTGCTTCATTCGTTAAAGAAAACTCTGGTTTCTAGAGGATTTGTTTTATCCCAGAGAGATTTTTACCCTCTTACCTGCCAAACAGACTGTTTACTTCCCGCTGACGCCATTCCCGTTGCCGCGGCGCTTCGAGGAGACATCAAGGCATGACGCGACGCTTGAGTCTCCTGCTCGCTGCACTGGCTGCTCTCATGCTCTCAGGTATGCTCTCATGCTCTCAGATATGCTTTCATGCTCTCAGGTATGCTCTCCTGCTCTCAGGTATGCTCTCACGTATGCTCTCCTGCTCACAGGTATGCTCTCAGGTATGCTCTCACGTATGCTCTCCTGCTCTCAGGTATGCTCTCAGGTATGCTCTCACGTATGCTCTCAGGTATGCTCTCAGGTGTGCTCTCATGCCCTCAGGTATGCTCTCGTGCTATCAGATCTGCTCTCATCCTCTCAGGTGTGCGCTTTCGGTCTCGGACATGCCATGTTCAATTGGCTGAAGTGTATCGAGAGACAAACTATCACAAGACTGGCATGCAAGATGCTCCTCCTACTCCAACAATCTTAATCTCCTCGTGTGACACCTTGTTGGTCACTGGCATTTGCAACCTCAGCTCAAAGGCTCTTCACCTCAACATTCCCGCCGTTCCCCTTTCTCTTTTCCCGCACCTTCTCCATCTTCGTCCCCCCCCACTTTGCCCATTCCCCCCTTCCCCTCTTACCCCCTTCCCCTTCTTCCCCACCCCCCTCCAACCCCCCTTACTTTCCCCCCTTCCCCGTCCTCTTTCGTGGATCTTGTGCGTTGAAAGCCCTCTTTCTTTCCGCGTTCTCCCTTTTCCCCTCCCTCCTCACTCTCCCCCCCCACCCTCCCCCCCCCCCCCTCCCTTTCCCCTGATTCCGTTTCTTTCCTACTCATCCCATCCTCTTTCCTCTCGTTCCTGCCCTCCTCCCTCCCACCCCCCTTTCTCCCACCCATCCGCTCTCAGCTTCTGCGCCCAGGGCTGCTGCTGTTTGCGTCATTTCCAGTTTTAATTTCTTTCTTTCCTCCCACACCCATTCCGCCCCCCCCCCCCCCCCTTAATCCGCTCTCAGCGAGTGCGCCCAGGGCTGCTGCTGTTCGCATCATTTCCAAATCTTATTCTTTCTTTCCTCCCACACCCCGTCCCCCCCTCTCCCCCATTCGCTCTCAGCCTGGGCGCCCAGGGCTGCTGCTGTTCGTCTGCCAGATGCGAGCAAGGCGGCCGACCGTAAGTCAACAGCCCGTAGTTACTTGTAGGGCCTGAACCGTAACACTTAGTAGGGCCTGCTAAAACGCACCATTGCCCGTCCATTCAACAAGTCGACTCGCAATCCCCTTCTCCCCCGTGTTTAGTCCACACTTGAAGCTTCTCCACTCCTGTGTAGGAAGCCCATGGGATGTGAGCTAGCGGGCCGTTCTCAGCGCCGCTCTTTGCTCTCTCTCCATTCCATTTCACCTATCCACGATCCATCGCACTTCCCTGTTTCTCTCCTTCACTGTGTTTGTCTCCTCATCCCCCATTTTCCTCTCCTCGCCCCGTTTTCCTCTCCTCTCGAATTCCTCTCTCCCCCGCTGGTCCCTGTGAATAACACGTGGAACAGACTCGTGTGTGCATAGGAAGTGTGGCGCCAATGCGGTCTGCGTGAAGGAGAGGGGGAACGCCAGATGCGTCTGCAACCGTGGATTCTCCATGACCCCCGCTGGCTGTGTTGGTGCTGGTGAGTGCTGCAAGCTAGAGCGGTGGTGGATGCTGCATGGGCCTGTAGTTTGAGGTGGGGTAAAGGGGGGGCTTTATCCCTCGGTGTCATTTGCGGACATTACATGAGGCCTCCATAGATTCAAGGCGTTCCCTGATTGAGCCCCAGAGCCCTGTTTTGAGGTACCGGGTTTCAAAGATCCTGTCAGGTGGCGGGAGCGCTGTTAGGTGGCAGGAGCGCTGTCAGGTGGCAGGAGCGCTGTTAGGTGGCAGGAGAGCTTTGAGCTTCAATCTACTGAGGCCTGTCACGTGTACAGTAATTTCTTTTATTCTCTGCTCTTAGTATCCCCGCACTCGCCCACCATCCTCCCCTCTGCCCCCCATTCCCCAGATGCATGCGCACTCAAGGCTTGTGGCAGCAATGGCAAGTGTATCAAGGACAGTGCTGGAGTGGCGTCCTGTGTGTGTGACACTGGCTTTGTGCTGCAGACTGATGGCATCACATGCACCGGTGCGTGCCATGCCTTGTCCCACGTTGCCATGCCTTGTACTATGCCTTGTGCTGTGCCTTGTGTTACGCCATGTGCAATGCCATGCGGCATGTGCTATGTCATGTGCTATGCAATGCCATGTGCTGTGTTATGTGCTATGCAATGCCATGTGCTGTGTTATGTGCTATGCAATGCCATGTGCTGCGTTATGTGCTTTGTCATGTGCTATGCAATGCCTTGTGCTCTGCCATGTGCGATATGCTGTATATGCTTGCATATGCTGCATTATTCTGAAACTTGTGCGTGCTGTGCTGATAGCATGTGTTGTTGTGCTCCATGGGCAAAGACACACTTCTGCTCGTGCAAGAAATGAAATACACTGTTTATATTTCCCTTAACTTGCTTTTTTCCATAGCAGACACATGCGCACTCAAGTCCTGTGGTGTGAACGGCCGGTGCATCAAGGACGCAATTACTGGAGCGGCGTCCTGTGTGTGTAACACTGGTTTTGCGCTGCAGGCGGATGGCAGGTCGTGCACTGGTATGTGCCGTGTGCTTACGCTTGTGCTACTATGTGCCTCTGCTTGTGTGTGCTACTACGTGCCTAGGCTTGAGTTGTATGTGCATGCTTTGCTGATGGCATGTGAACGATTGACGACAAACCAGAAATGACTCCTACTATTCACATGTTCTTGTTTCCTCACTCCCTCCCCTCCCAGACACATGCACACTCAAGGGATGTAGGGGGAACGGCACGTGCATCAAGAACAGCACTACTGGAGTGGCGTCTTGTGTGTGTGACTCCGGCTTTGAACTGGAAGTGGATGGCAAGACGTGCACTGGTGCGTGCTGCATCCTGGTGGTTTGGGCTGATGTCATATGCTGACGTCATGTGCTGATGTCAGTGCGTCAAGAACAGCTCCTGTGTGTGTGACACTGGTTTTGAGATGGAAGCGGATGGCAGGACGTGCACTGCACTGGTATGTGCTACTTCGTGCTTAGGCTTGTTTGAGCCGCGTAATGCTTAGGCTTGTATGTGCATGCTGGTGGCAGGGCAGGTGCATGATTGCTGAAAAACAGAAAAAGACTTAAACTGTCTACGTGTTC